GTCGAAAAGGAGATGTGGGTCCTGAGTTTTCCTGCACATTCAAGTCCCGAATTCAAGATTCATGCCAGGTCTTGAATTGAAAATGTAAAACCAGGTAACTGGTTATTATTTTTTCGTAATAACCGGGTAGCAGGTTATTACGGAAAAATAATAACCTGGTAGCAGGTTATTACGGAAAAATAATAACCTGGTAGCAGACTAGCAGGTTATTATTTTTCCGTAATAACCTGCTACCCGGTTATTATTTTTCCGTAATAACCTTCAATCCCGTATTTCCCCCGGAGAAATCAAATACCACCGCCTGCTTTTAGATTGAAGGTTATTACGGAGGAGTTAAAAACCGACGAAATACAAAAGAATATGGTCTGATGAGTTTGTAAAGATTGTTAATGTAGTGTGATTGTGATGTATCTGTGTATGTTGTGTGTTTGTGACGCATCCGTGACTGTATATCCTACGTTTCTAAAGAATGTTAACTGCATGAGTATTGTAATCACGTGATGTAATATATTTCTAGAACTTAAGAGGACCAGATTGGAAACAAGCTGGTACTGTAGCTTTATCTGTAAATCCTCGTTAAATAAAGTGTTATTATTATTATTATTATTATATCAGTATCACCCGTATACCCGAAAACCGGAACCTCTCTAACCTCTCTATTATTTTAACAGACACTTTCCCCGCCATTTTGACCGGTGTTAACATTACCGGTGTTTTGTGAGGCGGAAGCTCAAATATTGCTGTTTCATCGTTTGTCAGCTGCAGTTAAGATACTTTGTCAGTCGTCGGTCAAACATGGGCAAATTATATACGTGTAGTCAGTTAACCCCATTCTGACCCTTTGTAATACTGCGCGATCATTATTATATTCTGTACTAACTTCAATTGTTTTCAATATTTTTATAGATTTCTGCATTTGTTTTGATTTCTGTCGTGTTCATTGGCAGATCATGACATTGTTGGTGAACGTGGATATTAGTCTGGTCACACTGGTTTATATATATCATCAAATTCCTGCACAGGGTAGTCCGTTTTTGAGAAGCTATCATATTTCAATCCTTAAACGTTTAAAATTCATTACATGCCACTTTCGAGATACTTCCCATCTAGAAGCTGAACTCCAAAGTCAAAGAGACAAAATATGGCAACCTACAATCGAATATTCGCTTGCTCTTCTTTGGTGTTCATTCTGAGCAGTCTATTCTTGAAAACAGTCAATCCATGTTCTCCTAATCCATATAAACCAGACCGCGATATTACGGAGCTAGCAATACTTGCTCCAGTTGTTATTATAGCACGCGTTGTAAATATCTCAGTGGATTCAAACATACAAATGTTCACTCAATATTCCGCTTGTTTGAATGTGACGGAAATAATCAAACGCGACGATTCCGTCTCTATTCCACAGACATTTTGTACCAAGCACTTTGGAACTGAAGCTATGTGTTTGTCTCATGTATTTCCTAATATATCCTATGTGTTTTACTTGAACACTGACCTTCAGGCAAGATATGATGCTCATTTCTCAGCAGCGAGACCTGCAACTGATGTTGTTGTCGCACTTGCTCGCAGAGGATACTGTGATGTGGAAAACTCGACAAATTGTGGTAATTATATACAGTGGTTAATACATATATATCTCGTTATTGCCGTTATAGCAGATCAAGGTTCAATTTCTGCTATAACTTGATACTTAATGGAAGCTGGGGGCAGAAAAATTACACTCTATCTCTAAATTTTATCTATTTACAAAAAATACAAAACTATACCTCTTAAGCTGGTTACAAACGAGCAAGTTTTCTATGACAAGTTTTCATATGACAAGTTTTCATATGGCATGTTTTATTTGCTAGTTGCACGCGTGATAGTGTGTATGTACGTAGAACACATTTTCTATGACAGGTTTTTCGTTTTCTGACTTGGCGTTAGCTATTATTAGCTATTACAACAATTGATCGCTGACCAACCGCATGCGAGTGCTCAAATTACTGTTACCAACTTTTCTTACCTTGCCGATTTTTTCTGTGACAACTATACACTTAATTTAAGAGAGCCCAGCAAATAATTGCCACAGTTTTAAAGTATACACTTGTTCAAAACTTAGCATGACAAGTACACTTGTTCAAAACCTGGAATGCTAGTTGAATAGGTACTTGTCATATATATATAGTCATAGAACAAATTGGCAAACTTGTCTATACAGGCGAGCAATAAGACTATCCATATGAATTATGAAAACTTGTCATAGAAAGCTTTGCTCGTCTGTAACCCGCTTTATAAAGTATTAAATTATTTCCCCAATATTATTACTAACGGATTATCACCATTGCTGTCTTTTTAATAGTAAAATCCATCTATACATTCATGAATATTGTCCACTAAAATATTAAAATTTTGATGGAAATTGCCACAGAACAACCTCGACTCATCCACATGCAAGAGAGGGTGTAGCCTCACTTGGGACAGTACAATGCCAATGGCACTGGGAACAGAGAAACAACGGAGAGGCCGTCCACTCCCGTTGCTCCCTACCACATGCAGACCGATATACGACAACCGCATCTCCCTGACAGCATAGAACATGCGCACCAAGATTCCGAATAAACTTTAAACAGATTTCGAAGAGACCTGAGTGAACAGACTAGCTAGCTGATGCATGAGTGAAGAATTTAACACTGACCGTCTGACGTGTCATAGATATCCCATTTATATTTAACCATTTCAAATATCTATTTGTATTATATTTAATATTTTGAGTCAGCCATTTGACTGAGTTACATTTTCACATCAGAATTACCCGACTTGTCTCCTCCAAGTGGCTCCAACGTAGTCAGTATACCAATATTTGTTAATTGTTAGAATAGTGCCTTACAGTCGATGCGTTAACTCAAAGCTTTCGACAATTTTACCAGCACTTTTGCATGCAAAAATGTAAAGTTATTGTTTTCCTTATGTGTCTTAAGTAAACTCGACAAAAGATTTAACAAATCACATTACAAGGTTGTCATTACAATGGAAAATATGACCGTACATTACGCCATTAAATCTGTGGCTTAACGATTTAAAATGATAGATCAATTGTGATTCCTTAAGATTTCTCCACAACGTATGTGTGAAAAATGCTTCTCAATCCAACCCGATATTCAGAGGTGAAGACCCCGAGTGTCAGATTGCTCCTCGATCTTGCTGCCACTGAAACTGTCTGTCCAGTTATCGAGCTCTAACCACAAGTATATATATATATATATATATTGAGTGAGGTTACAACAAAATCTTGATGTTTACCCATACTTTAATATGGCAGTGCCCTAGTATATATACATGAACTTGTGGTTAGACCTCGACAACAGTTGTAAGACAACTGGACTCTGTAGCTCAGTTCGTTAGAGCCGCTGCTCTGGGAATCGCAGGGCCGCAGGTTCAATTCCTGCCAGGGACCTATAGTTGCATTTTCGCAGCTGTTCCTGGTTAGGTCTAATAAATGTATATAGAATTTCCACTCGATAATTTCCATCCACAAAAACCTCCAACTACTATTATTCAAACGAGTGCGATGCCAATAAAATCTTGTTATTTCATGTTTTAGCAACTTGCCTTGGGAGTCCTTGTTTCTAATTTGGATTTGGTTTCTCTTTTAAATTCTAGTTCTACCCAATGTAACTGATGTTCCAAAAAAATTAATAGCAGTTGACGAGGGAGGGAGTGTAGTTCTAACCTGCCATGCTTCTGGCACCAAACCTTATGTCGTCACCTGGTTCTATAAAGGCGACTCAAGTGGCATGCCACTTTATTCAACAATCGGATATGATGGAAGCTTATTTCTTCGCAAAATGTCAACAACATCTCGAGGAAAATATACTTGCATCGTGAAGAATGCTGCTGGTAGTGTTTCTCGTGACACAAGAATCGTTGTTAGTAAGTGTTCTCTTTAGATATTATTGCTGCCAAGGGCAGGGAGGCACTATTCTTGACACTGTATATTGTTTCACCAGAGCTCATTCGGCCTACTCTTTCGCGCGATCTATGTATTGTCGCGATCTCAATTTTATGTCGGTTAGTTGGTTAATTAGTCGGTCTGTCGGTTTCGATTTCTGTCTCTCTAAATGTTTTGCGACATATATATATATAGTTTGGGCTGATTTCAATAGACCTTTTTAAAAAGTCTGCCTTGTGACGTAGTTTGCAGGTAAATACGATCATTTGGCCAACCAGGCAAGCCAAATGGCTGTGCGGGGTTTTCTTTATCCGCAAACTACGTCACAAGCCAGACTTTTTAAAACGGTCTATTAGCTCAATGTAAATTCACCACGAATGTCGATTTCAGCTTATTTTTCAATTTGAAATATTGTTTGAAATATTGGGCGGGAAATTTGTAAATACAATTATTTCGCTGTGTTCTAAAGTACGAAGTACGAAAAATATTGCAATATCAGAGTTACAGAGTAGCGGTGTTTATGGCGAACGAATTACAGGACTCCTAAGAAGCTGTACAAAAAATAACTTTCATTTCCAATATCATTTTTAATTTGTTCAGTCGCCATGAACACCACAACTCACGATTTTATAACATGATCAGTAATTCACAAAAGACTTGCGAAATTAACAGTTCTCTGCCCAATATTCCGAACAATTGGAATATTCACAACAAACGTTGGGAATGTGCGTTGAAATGTGAGCTGAAACGATGATTGTGATATGATCAATGTATTTCTCTTTTTCTGTTCAATATCAGTTCTATTTTCTTTTCAATTTCATCCAGAATGTCTTCAACGAGTGAAAATTCAAACTTCAACGTTTTCAGTCGACTTAAAAACTAAAACAAGTTTACCAACCGATTGAATAATAAAGTTTTATTCCGCTCATTTGTTTTCACTTGTTCAAGGATTTGTCAAAAAACAACTGAAATCGATTGTAAATTAATTAGAGTATTTTGTTGATTTTGCGTAGGGTTAAAACCTTGTGGTGGAGTTTTTATGGTAAATAAAAGGATGGACATTACTTCTCCAGATTTTCCTCATGAATATGCTCCTGATAAGACGTGTGTGTGGAGACTGTGTCCACCTCGCTCCTATCGAATTAAATTTCACTTCAACATGTTCCATCTACATGCATCTGATTCCCTTAGCATTGA